TTCTTTCCTTTTCCATAAATGTTTGTTTGATTAGTAATCAGGTTTTAAATTTCTTCAGTAAAAATGGTTCTAAAGACTAAAACTGGAGTTCGCTCTTTGAGAAAGATTGAGGTAAGGCTGGCATCCGTGATATAGATTTCATTCATTGAATTCAGCTCCTCTACATATCCATCCAAATCTTCACCAGAAAGCTCAAGCTCATCTTAGTTATCGACTAGTTCATCGCAATCGAAATCGAAGTCACTCTCGCTGATGTCATCACTGGCATACGAATCACAAGACTTGTCGTCGACTTCATTATTTCCATAGAATTCCATTTGTTTAGTTTTAATTGTAAAAATGGTATAAAGAAATAAAGAGTACAAGTTCGAAAGATAAACGATATGCTTTTCAAATTCCAGCATAACGTAAATTCGTCAATGAGAATGGGGGTATATATATATCCGATAGAGAATAAGAATGTTCTCGGAAAACAAAAGATCAGAGGAAAAGAGAGAAATTATGACGTCACTGCACCTTAGCAACAAGAACAAAGGATATTTGAAAAGAATTTATATGAGAGAAGGAAAGAACGAAAAGAAAAGTATGAGATGACAAATGCAGCTGTTTATGACCTTGATGACCTTACATATTTAACAGTTTAATGTGAACGAAACACTTTTTTCTCTACTGAAAAATAGGTGGGACAAATATGTTCTACTGTCCTCAAAGGGTTAAGAGAAAAGTATTTTCAAACGTAAATCATAGTTTTTAGAACAAATTTTGCTATAGACAACAGCATAACTTTTTAAAATTAATAGCTGCTAAATTCTGAAATCATTTAGAACAAATTCTAATTTCATAATTGTATTCCTTTTTACTTCGAATACGTTTAATAGGTTCCGTTTATATCGCACAAATGAAAAAATATCACTCCATTTCATCTTACAGTTTAATCTCAGCTTTAATTGAGCACGTACGCTTTCACTCGGCATCAAATTTCGATTAGATGTTCATGAATGTTTCATATGACTACTAGATTAAACTGTAAGATGAAATGGAGT